GTGTGAATAGTGTAAGCGAAGGCAAAGAAGGTCTCTCTACATTTGCGCTCAAGTTCAAAGACCCGACGATCGTGGAAGAGTTTCGTGTAGCCATCGAGAAACATAAAGGCAGTAAACCGGTAGAAGAAGAAGCAGAAGCAGCAGCTCTTCCTCTGAAGACACCTGAGAATTCTCCAGCAGCTACAGATGCTTGAAGAGAAAAGGTAAAAAAAAAAAAAGAAACAAACAGAAACATGTAGAAACACTTGTCTTCTTTGTCTTCCGTCTGGTTTTGTTTCTTTCTAGTCGTTGAATTTTGAGGCAGAGAAAATAGAAGTTTGTTTGTTGTTTTTCTTTCCACAGTTGTTGAGACTTAAAATCTGCTTCTTGATCTCTTTATTTGAACCATTTTAATGTGACTGTTCTATATAATTAGTCCGATTTCAAACTGATACTGGCTTTTTTGAGGTTTAGATTTGTTAATTGAAATGTGGATCAGTATTTGATCTGGTATTGTAAGGCAGGTTCTACGAATATGGACCAGTCACGAACGTTTAGTCCATTGTACCAACGACCTTAGTGCGAGATTATGCATATTCATGCATATGTGACATGATAATAGTGGGCCTGGACCTTATGCTATTGACAGCTTGTCACATGTAATTTCTCTAGGCTTCTGAGAGCCCAACGCTGATAATTTAATATTATTTCTATGCGAGGAAGATTATTTGATCGATCATTTTGATTAGGGGTGGCCAAATGGGGTTTTGGATTTAAGTTATTTAGATTACAAAATATTTTACCAAATTCGATCGACATGAAATTTGGATCAAGTTTGTTTTTTCAAGTTTTATAGATTGGGTTCATGTTGTTTGGATCATAAACAATCTGACGAAGATAAACTTAAATATAATATTACTGATTTTTTACTTTCTTAATGGAAATATAACCATTTTAATTAAAAAAAGAAAAAAAATTATATTTGCAAACTCTTCCTTTAGCAAGATTGAATTATCTCATTGTTATTGAGATTTTTGATGTGTTGTTAATCTTTTAATAAATTTATGTTCAGCGTTAAGAAAATATTTTACATACTAAAAAGATTTCAGATTAGAATTCCTAACTGAAAAAAAAAATCAAGATTCGGATCCAAAAACTTTGAATGTTTAAATCAGAGTTAGATTTAAAATATTTTGTGCAGCCGTAGATACCACACAAATTTGAATGAAGGATCTATCCAAACAGTTGTATTGAACAGTGGAGTTATTAAAATAATGCACTTTGTTTGTTTTTCTAAGCACTAAATTCGACTGGGTTTGTGTGCCTAAATAAATTCGATCGACAATGTCAAAAGAAGATACAGCTTGAAAGATAAGATCTTCATAGATTTTTTTTCTAATGACTAAAAGATCTGGACAAATACGTACCCCTGATCATCTTTCAAAATTTGTAGACTTGTAGTTGGTATCTAAGTTTTAGTTCACAAAAAATGTAGTATGTAATAACCAAAAAATGATTGGCAATGAAAAGGGTCTCTTTTGAAAATGACACATTGTTAAAAGAAAATACTATGTGACTAACTGGCAACAGATGTTTGTAAATGATGATCTACTAACCGAATGGTAATGATTGTCAATGTGGGTCTAGATCAGAATAAATTCTCATCATCATCTAGGGACTCAGAATAATTGGCCTCTCGTGACATCTAATTATATGAAAGATCAGTTCTATTAGCCAAAAAAAATCTATAACTTTATTAGTTTACAATTTTCTCCAAAAATGAAAACCTAAAACTATATTTCATATAAGAAAAGGCGCCAAGAGCTTTATAGTCGATTCCCAGATTATATGATTTTGGCAGATTAACAGAAAAAAGTTTATAGAAAATCTCTAGTGTAATGTAAGAAAATTTGTTCGTTGTAGTATAATGGTAAAGATAAAATCATCCATCATAAATACTTATGATAGATAAATTCCGTCTATAGTGGATCTTTGTAGAGTGGATAAAATTATAAATTGAGAATTTGTTTTTGCTAGTATTGGGAATATGCAAGTATTAAAAGCATATTAATTATTCCATCTGTTTTCAATTGATAAAAATTAAGGATTTTTACACATTACAAAAAAAATAAAAATAATAAATACATCATTTGAAAAAACTAAACAATTTTTACTACTCTAAACTAATAGTAATTCGAATCCGAATCCACTCTATTAGTTTATAAATATGAATACGTATCATATTAGTTCTTAAATATGAATCCGAATCTATTTACATTTACAAAAAAAATGAACCAACTTGGTTTTCACCCAAAAGAAAAGAAAAAACAGTTTAGACTTCAAAGTTAGTTGGGTCTAATTAAATGCATGCACGCATGAAAACATGCAACACGTGGACTGTGAAGAATGACCATACCTAATAAATCTCAGTGTCATGGGGTCAGTGTGTCACTATCGCGGTCCGGTGAGGATAAGCCATTAAGTCCTCTCCAGAAACAATAATTGCTGATTTTTTCTTTCAAATGAAATCACAATGTGTCAAAAAAGTTTCTTTATAGTTTATAGCATTTTGATGAATATCACAAATTCAATTGGTCGAGTGGTTGGTAAACTTTTGTAAATATGTTAATATCAACGTCTACAAAAGTTTTTACCAGAAGATCATAATCAAATCTTAATATTAACGTCTACAAAAGTATTACAAATGTTGATACTTTGGGTCCCGGAATTAAGGGTTTTTATCAGAAAATCGTTTACAAAACAAACTCATTTTTGTCTTTTTAAAAGCTATCCTAACTGTACTTTCATCTAAAAAAGGCAATACTAAGACTACAATGGAAGGATGAAGTCCATCACTATGCCAAGCGAATAGCCTAATTAACTTTATTCGCTCGCCTGTGTCAAACCATCAATCCAACATTATTGACATTATTCCTCAACGAACTAATTCAATCGTTCAGTAGATTCTGAAAATTTTCATCCCGAATTATTTGCTGCAAAAATGAATTGAAAGCATTCACAACCATTACCAATCAAACTTTAACGTTTTTTTGTTTTCCTCCAAACTTTAACGTATCAAAAAGCAACACTCAGGTGCAGGGGCGGAGCTAGAATTATTTTGCACGAGGGTCATATATAAAACAAATGGTACAAAAGGGTCATATGAAAAAATTTGAACTTGAGACAAGGGGGTCATTTGACAATATTTAAACCAAATTAGTTATCAAACACATAACAAATATAGATGAAAATAAATATTTATAAAAGTAGTAGGGGTCAGCTGACCCCCTTCCTCTCCACCTAGATCCGCCCCTGCTCAGGTGGCAATACTTTATTCCTCAGAGAGGGCAACACTTATTTTTGTAAAGAAAAGGACATCTAAGTCTCCATGCTTAGTGTAAAGAGTTATGTGACATAGTGTAGTATTAGATAAGGTTACTATATATCCAGTTACTCAGGATATTTTTGACAAAGACAACACTTTCGCATTTGTTCATCATCATGATTCATGAATATTGCACCTGTAACGAGATTAGAGAACGCAAGTATAGTTTTTGTTAGGGCACGTCTTTTTCTGTACTGGTTAACACTGACGTAGTAACTAACAAATAGTTTGGTCACATTTCCTGTTTTTTTTTTCTTTCGCGGTATTCACATTTCACCTTTTCCTTATTTTACTACGGTCTTTAACAGCTTCGATCGGACAAATTTCCAAAACCATTTTTCATTTTCTTTTAGGTTCAAAATTCCTTAAAATAAAAAAAAAATATATATATATATATATATATTATTGGAAAAAACAAAGATTATAATCTTTCGTATAAAATTTAAGGTTGTGACATATTTCTATTTCAAATTTTCAGCACTACCGGATATATTGAATCATATATTTGAAAGTATTTGAGTTTTTAATGAGTTTTGAACGAATTAGATTTTTTTTTATAATTCATTATTAAAGTACTCTACCATTTTTGTTCCCTTTTATAAGTTTTGTCTATATTAAAGCGTATAAACTGCAATAAATAATATATATATTTCCGTTGTTAAAAGTATTATTTTCATACTAAATTAAAATATTATTTTCATACTAAGTATTATTTTCAATCTAACTAACCAGTAGAAAACAGTACTTCATAAATACTAGCTATTACGACTTTTTTTTTGGTCGGGAGCTATTACGACTTAGTTGTCGGTCAAAAAATATATTAGGAATTAGTTGTATAAACAAAAATAAAGGAATTTTCGTTTTCATTTCTAAACCATTATTTAATTTTATCAAAATGCAGACATTAATTTCTCACTAGTTGCAAGTTACAACTAGCGATATTAATGCATAGTTTTTCTATTAAACTAATACATAATAATTGGCGCAGTAAAATCGTTGGTCAAGTGAATAACGATGGTGTAGTTGTTTCTTACTTAATCAAAACAGAATGTTAGAGTACACAGCAAGGAATGTATACTATAAGATAATTACATATATATGAATTTGTCGTGAAAGCTTTCAGACCCACTTTTCAGTTTTCTCAGTAGCGAACCTTTCCATATATAAAACATTTCAAAGTTGTACATTTCGTAGGCTACAGCTACATGTTAAAACTTTATCAAAAAAGAAACTTCCTATATAAAGATGTTTTTTTGGTTGATAAAACCGTATAGAGGTGGTTACCAAAAAAACATTTATATATCCATAGAAAATAAAATAACAAATATAGGAAAATTTAATGATATGATACAAATAACCATATATATATATATGTGTGATCTTAATGATTTTTTTTATATCAAATTACAACAGTACGTTAAATTATTGGCTGATACTTGAATATAATTAAACGGTTTCTATTTGCTTCTAGACACCTATAAAGAGCCACCTGCTTGATTTAACTTAAACTAACTCTAATATAATATCAATGCACTTAACAAAGACACAACTCCGTATATAAATACCACAAGCTCCCTCCCTTCATCTTCAACAATTTCCTCGTCTTTAGAGAGTGAGTGAGTGAGAGAAACACAAAATGGTGAGATTCGAGAATGTCCCTTTACTGTTAGGATTAGTTCTGGTTATAACTCTGGCCGGAGCTCCTCCGACAAAAGCCGCTGGACCTGTTTGCCGTGACGCTGAGAAGTTTAGCAGAGCTAGCTTCCCTGAAGGCTTCCTTTGGGGAACCGCGACCGCAGCGTTTCAGGTCTATCTTTAGAAACAAAATATCTTTGTAACGATAATGTATTTTTTGTTGCACTATTTTTTCTTTATTGACCTATTTGTTATTATTATGTGGTAAATAGGTAGAAGGAGCTGTTGACGAAGGTTGCAGAGGGCCAAGCATGTGGGACACTTTTACTAAGAAATACCCACGTATGTTAACATGTTTTCTTTCCTTATTTATCATCGATATACTGATGTTGAATTGTTGATACTTGAG